ACCATGCATGTAGGGAAATGAGTTCTGCAGTATGTTGTCCAGTAAGTCTAATTCGGATTCACTCAGGCATGTCTCAGACAGGTCAGTAGCTATAGACGCAAACAAATCAAGGGTGTTAGTGCCAAATCTTCAAATTATTTAAACGAAAGGCTTCTTTAATCTTTGTTGCTCACCATATCTGGCCTTTAGTGTCTCCAGACTGTGGTGAAGCTGTTCACCAAGCGTCGATCCGAACATGCTCATCAAAGTTTCTTTTGACATTGTGCACAGTGTGATCCCGTCCATGTCGCAGTAGTTCATATTCAGCAGGCTGGCATCAAACCTGCTCTCCTCCACGTGAAAGCCGATCCACTCCAGAACGTTCTGCCCGGTCCACATCTGTGGGTTCACCAGGTCCCAAGGGCCTGCCGGAGAAGAGGTTCAAAGTACGTTTAGCCTCATTCACATCTGCACTGTGACCACATGACATGTCAGTACCTGAGATCACCCAAACCACCCCCCCGGTGTAGGAAGCCCCTAACAATAGCTCAGGTTTACTGTCTCCAGGGCCGTGTGTTTAACTATCTGTTATGTTGACACCCTGTAGGTTTTGAGCACAGTGTCAACAATGACTGCATTGCCCGAAAGACCATAAAGAAACCATTCCTGCCCGTCTACTGCGGGCCAAGGTAAACATTGCCTTGGTTAATGATTTTAAGAGTCAGAAACTGAGGTCAGACTTCGGGGATGAGAGATTATTGGCGTGTCTGGGCTCTCCGTTTGGGTGATGGGAACCATCCCAAACAGGCAAAAACCACACAGATTTCAAGAGCTACCGCTCGTTTATTTTTAAGTAAGCGGTATGATGATGAAGGCTTACCCATTGTGCTGTTGTTGTTACTGCTGAAGGTCATCTCTGAGAGTCTGCCCATTGGCGCTGTCATGCTCAACAAGTTGGGCTGCGGTTCAGATGGGTACAGGTTGGCATTTGCGTTGTTGAGAATTAGACTAAGTTCGCTTGACGCCATGAGAATTCTGCGAGATAAGAAACAAAATCATTTGAACTTCATCTAAAACGGCAAATCAGAAATATGTTCTTATTTTAAAGAAACTTGCTTGGAAGGTAAAAATTATTTACCAGTTGTGATGGCCAAAGGCAGCTTGGTTTCCAGATAAAATCCGTTTAAGTGTTAGTTAAGTAATAATCCAGTCAGTAAGGGTTTGTCTTCAGCGGTTTGAGGTTCACTGTTCAGTCTCAGAAGGTTTGCTAATGCACCTGCTGCTGCTGGCGAGTTTATAGGGCAAGAACGGGCAAAAAGGGGGCGTGGCCAGGTGAGATACATGAGGAGGCGTGGCCAGGTGAGCATATTCTCCTGGGAGGGGAATTCCAGCGAATATCTCTCTCTCTATCGCTCGCTCGGCCGCTCTCACCTTTTGTTTTTTTCCCGAGAATAGCTTTTCAGACCTTGAAACATGAACTTGAAACATGACAAGGCAGCTAACATACATTCAGAGATAAACGCGAGCAAATACTATGTCACTCACACTCTTTCCATGACAACACACACACACATCAACCCATTCTCTCAACTATTCCTGGAGGGATGAAGTCATTTCTGTCAATATTTACGGTCAACGCAGGTGTGTAACTTTATAACAGGTTTCAGTTTGCTGCAGGACTGATGTTTCTCTGTGTGTGTGTGTGTGTGTTTGTGTGTGTGTGTGAGTGTGTGTGTTGTGTTTTGGGTCTTCATACACAGCTGAGTGCTTTTGTACTAGATGTAGGTGATGGTAAACACCATTCTGTTGTTGTGGATGAAGCTTATAATGACAGCGAGTGATGTAAGCATTTCGACCTCAAGTTTGAAGCAATTCATTTTTGTGGACCACTGGAGAGTAAACACCACCATATATGAATGGTAATCATCAATTACCATGCATAAGTACGTTGGCTTTTCCGTTTCTATTTTTACGCTATTTGCTAATCCACGGTGCTAAAAATAACAGTTAATCATGTGATCCAGATTTAGATGTTTCCATGTTATTCTCTAGTCATTTTCCCTCTTCTCATAACTGCAGCTCTTTTTCCGTTTCTTGTCGACGTCACGCTGATGAATGCTGAAGGAAAGACGTCTTGGGATGCAAATGAACAGGTTTAGAGGCGCGGAGGTGTCTGTCGCTCTCTCTACCTGTCTTGCATCATGTAGATTGAACACTCAATAGAGAAAGTGTGAACACATCCATCAGTCATGAGTGCATGCAGGTTTGTCTGTACTTGTAAGGGCTCTTGAAAAAAAATCCTCGCAAACACTGAAAAGCAAAATTTGAAGAGCTCCTCGTTATTTACAAGAGATTCTGACTAACAAAGCTTAAGAAGTCTGGGTGGATTTCCAGAGAACATGCTGCAGATGTGATCAAATAAAGATGCTCTTTGTTTTCAGACTTGAGTTGTTGCCTCCATTCTGCAGAAGTGAGATAAGGTCATAAATAAATACAATCAACTGCGTGGGAGAGACTGAAAAACAACATTAGATCAGTGTTATAAAGGTCATATTAAAAAAGAAAAGGAAAATGCAAAGGTATTCCTCTCCTGAGGTCATGACGAGCTATACTTTTGGCTATAAAGAACTAAATCAGATCTGTTTACATCACTACTTTCCATTTAAATAAATGATTCATAATTCAATTTAAAGTTAGTCTTTCATATAGAAAAAGTTCTCACAATGACATTAAATTACTCTTGTTTCCACATTGCTGGTAATAGGTTGGAAAGGGTTCGGGTTGTAATCATAATTAGCTTAAATTAAAACAATAGAAGTCAAAGGGACGTCCCAGTCGTGATGGCAAACACTAGTCCGTGTGTTTTGCTCCGCTTGGGGTCTGTTATATATTCACCACATCTAGTTAAGCATGAAGGTCAGTGTGGCAGCGAGGAATTCATTCTGTCAAGTTATTAGCTACTCCAGACTCCATTAATGGGCTAGTTAATGAAGTTAATGAGAGCTGCACACAGTCTGACTCCATTAGTGGGAAACTCCTGCCACCTTGTGGAATCATCCGGGAACTGCAACTACATCAAACTGCTGCACAAAAAAATTCCATGGTACTATAATGCTTTTTTTGTTTGTTTTTTGTTTTTGGAAATGTTCTTAGGTATTTTACACTTACAAAAATGTACCAGGAAGTATCAGTGGTGCTAACTTTTTTTTTTTTTTATATTACCATAATAATTTTTAGAAATACCCTGGAATGTCAAGTAAATATCATGGTAAAGGAATTTGGGTATTATGGTAAAAAAACACAGTTTACTAACACTTTTCATCACCTCGAGAAACTCGAAGACTGACAGGAGTTTTTCAGAAGCGCGCGCCTCACGCCACAGGTGTGTGAGTGACGTCACTGATGAGCGTTCAGTTCATGCAAAAACCAAAAATACGTCAAATCATGCAGTGACCTATATTTAGGCTAAATGCGGATGGAATGGCCTACTAGAGTTAAAGACTAGAATGATTTAATAATGTTTAATTTTTTTAATGTAGTGTAATAGCCTATTGTTAATAAAAAAAACGCAAATCATGTTTTTTTTTTTAAATGTTACATGTTCAGAGTTTTTCTTCAAATGTGACATGAATGTATTTTCTTGGATTGAAATATATATAAAGGGCAAAATATATTTTAAAATGCTTAAAAAATTAATATTTTCAAAAATACAAAAAAATATATATATTGGTAGAAAATATATTATTTTGCAACATATTTTAGCAAATATATTTTTGGACATTTATTGTAAACATATTTGATTTATTCATTTTTTTGCCATATAGGAACATGTACTTCTGTATTGCTACTTATTTTCCATGTGTAAAAGTAATGGTGCAGTAATGAAAACTACTAAATATGACAAATGTAACTCTGAGAATGATTTCATGATGATCTTCCTTTTAAACCTCTGCGTCTAGATTCCAGTTCTGATCACTCTAGTTGATGAGGTGCATCATGGGATGCTTTTCACACTGTATGTGAGGAGGCTCTGACCTTCAGTATGTGCTTAAACTAAAAAACTTATTTTGACATGAGCAAGAAGCATCCAAACATTTGACTTGCAGTGCATGTAGGATATATGTCCTGTGTAAGATCTCGGTTATCTATCATCTCTATGGCCAGAGGGTCTTTTAATAGAATGGACCGACAGCTGCACACACACACACACACACAGACACACACACACACACTC